GGGGGGGGGGGGGGGGGGATGAAAATATTCTCTTTTGGTCTCGTCTTGGTTTGTTTGTCGTCACAAGGCAGGTTTTGTCCAGATGGCAACAGCAAGCACAGCCTCTCTCCCGAAAGGTCTAAACGTTGGGAGGCGCTAGATACACCAACAAGAGATTTGGTTCTCCGGCTTGTACATTGTAGTAGAGATGTAACGGCGTCGGCGGTGTCGTACCTTGGTCAGGTTCGGCGAAGAAGTTGGGTCTACTAGTGGTAGGGTTTGGACCAACCTAAGTACCTGTGTTTGGCGCGCGAAGTGAGCGTGTACCTGAGTGGGAGAATGAAGTGCAACTGAAGGTTGTTGTGCGGATTCGGCTTCCCTTTTATTGTGCGATTCTTCCTGGGGTACAGTATGACGATGGGGCGCGTGGGAATGAAGCAGTAGATAGAGTAGCATGTAGAGGTTACGGTTTCTCGGCACAATGTAGACAGACAGTAGTGTAGTGTACTTTGCAGATCATCCCACCACTAACATGCTTCGGCGATGATAAGGAGGAGATTGATGTTGGTGATGGTGTTAGGGGGGGAGGGGGGCTTTGAAAGAGATACGATGGTGGTACAAGCTCGTCGCTATCTACACGTGTGCAGAAACGTCCAGTAAAGAGCGTACCTGGTAGGCATGCGTATCTACTGAGCATCATGAATTGTTGGTAAGGCGCTCCTCGTTTGAGTGTTAATTAAGGCAGTTGTTCGCGCGGCCATGATCCGTTGCTCGGCAATGAATGAAGTGCACATAAAACAAAGAAACGTTTACACCTCGACTTCAATCAAGTACATCAGAGTACACAAGTAAGGGTATTCGACTTTCTCTTCCGTGGGTGCGTGAGCGAGCGCTTTTTGCGAACTGCGAGATGGGCGGCCCCTCTCGCGCAAGAGAGCTCGGGAAATCTCGTGTAGTCATTCCGAATGCACTTGGCAGAGCGCGAAGTCAGTAATACCTGCTACGCGTAGGACCTTAGACTACCCATGCACGCGTCGTTGAAGGCGCCTTTTCCGTTTTCTGTGCCGTGGTACCTTCACACAACACCGAGGTGTAGAGAGACGTGCTTGTTCGGCTGTCACTGTCAGTAGTGACCACTCGCCGCTCGACCATTCTTCATGTTGTTGCCTGTTGAAAGGGGTGCGCCTTCGATTCCCCTCCAAGGTCGCGTTGCAAACAACACGGGACATGCGCGGCGAAATGATCACCCATCCACCTGGTTGTGCATGTACGAGCATGTACATGCGATAGAAACTTTTTTAAGCCCTAACGACTTTTTCATCAAAAACATCCCCTTGGGTCACGTAATAAATCATTCAGTCCAACTCTCAGGCACACATGGGGGAAAAGTCAAGTCACCAACCCTCGAGTATGGTGATTGGATGCAATGGACAAGAGGGTTGGATGTGTCCTCGGCTGCCTACTCACACACGATCATGTGCAAAAAAAAACTTTGCTCACCAGCAGTTATTTTGTCATTTTCCAGTGCCCTTGTTTCGTCTCGGGCGTCCCACACGGTCTCGAGATTTTTCTCAAGGTTCCGTTCCATGAACGAACGCTGGGCCGAGGGACGATAGTCAATACTTCTCGGTTTTAAACAAGGAAAACCAAGCCAACAGAGGCATTTTTTTACGCCAAGTCCCCAGGAAACTGTCGCAAACTCGATGTTTTAGTCGACTTTGCTCGGGTCGCTGCAGAAACTGAATCCTATCCCTTGAAGAGGCGTCAGAAAATGTCATTACATGTACTAGCGGGATAACGCTGGGCAACGACGCTGGCACAGCACAGCAAAAAAGCGAAACATGTCACCAGTGGCTCCTCAGCCTCAAAGTTCCAACGACAAGACGGTCGTAAACAAACGACGGGAAGAAAGTGCTATTGTAGCGGCGATTAACACGCAACTTCAGAACGCGTTATTTAGCGGCAACTAACACGTAACAAGGTCCACCCATGGATGTCGGCTATTGTTCTGCAATCACCACGATTAAAATATACTAGTTTCCTGTGCACCTTGCTTGGTGCCTGGAAACACCAAAATGTGTATGATGCCGAATCACAAATAAATTTGATGAATTTCCGGACACACGCCCCGCCGACACAAAAAAAAATACATACGATTGTACAAGTGGATCAAACTAGCGGAATAACACACGAAATTCGATCCGTCACGCGGCGGGACGTAGTTTTGTTATTTTCCGTTCTCTCATGTAGAATATCTAAGAGGTTATACCTATCGTGTCACTTCGGGCCACTCTTTTCACACGACGGTTAAATACCGTGGAGAAAGAATCACGAACTTGGTCGCTGAAAGGCAGCCATCATCGCCCGCGCCGTGCCAAACTTGATCAGCACGCAGGCATCCTAAAAAGAAAACCCGACCTGCGAAAAAAGCAACAGCAAACCACCGCCCCTCCCGTCCGCGCGGCCGCCTCAGCAACGCAAAACTGGCCGTCCGTCCATTTCACCCCGGCCTCAAACAAACCAACGGTCACGCTATTTTGTCCTGGCCTCTGGCTGCCCACGTCGCTCCTCTCCCAAAGCGAACGGACCGGCCTCCCGCAATGCGACGGCTCCCTCCTTCCCCGCCTTCGCGCCTCTGCATCACCTCGAGGTGACCACTCATGTTGTTGTTGTTCTGCGAGGCACGACCGCCCAAGGGGCGGCTCGAAGCTTGTCACGGCCCGCCGTCTCGCAAGAGCTCGACGTTGTCGTCGTCTCGACCCCCCCCCCTGTTGCGCAGCCCCGCCGCACCAACCTGCATGCAGGCATGTGCCAAAAAAACAAACAAGCAAAACACACATACATACACAAACACACCCACACAAAAAAAAAAACGACGTAAGCATATGTAGCGCGACCGACCGACAACACGTGGTCCGCGGAAAGGGGTGGTGGGCGCCTAATACACCCCAGGCGAACGCTTTGCGCGCCTCGCGTGGTTGATAGTTTGCGCTGGAGGGCGCGTCTGTTCACGAACCGTCCGAAGCACACGACGCGCGACGAGATCTAGACCCTAAAAAAGCCCCGTGTTGTATCCAGCCGGTTTTCTTCCCACTCACTTTAAAGATTAAAACACACCCCTTTCGACTGGGTTTATATCTCGAACGGGTGGTCTTTCTGTGAGATTTAGGCAAATTTTCTAAAAACACGCAGAATATTCTACTGTGACCGGGGCCGCGGCAACGGGAGAAAAACGCAGAACGAGGTACGCAATGCTACTTCCCCGAGCAAGCGTAATCTCGATGAGATGCTACATGTGAGTGTCATGCCAATCGCTTCGGGCAGGGGGGGGGGAGGGGTCACCAGTTGCCCATGATGTGCGAGAAAGACGTGCGAGCTGCGACGAGAGCAAAGGCCATATCGGCCGCCAAGCGTGCATAGCCTATACCAGATGCGCGAAGGTTGCTTTTAGAAGGTAGACAGGACACAGACGCAAAGAAGGGGCTTCTTTCGCCCCCAAGAACGTGCATCTCCGTCAAGTCCATGGAGGCCAAAGAGCCCCCCGCCCCCTCCGCCGAAACGCAAAAGAGATCAAGGAATCCAGGAAGATATGTAGATGGATGTGACATGACTGAAGTTGGGTAAACTCTGGTGCTGAGAACAGCACCACAGCATCAGCCAACAGGCTACCACCGTCGCCCAAAGCAATGTGCACGAATCCAGCATGCAGCGCTCCTCTCTCTCTCTCTCCCTCTCTCTCTCTCCTTTGCCTCCGATCGATCCAGCAAAAACACAATCGGAACGCTTCCTTTCCCCGACCGTGGTACGCATATATGCTAGCGGGCGGACGCTATCATACTACTCGCGCGGGCGGTTACACGTCGGTTAACCCCCCTACCCCCCCCCCCCTGTCTCCAATTCACCTTGACCGCGGCGGTGCCCCCCCCCCGCGCGCGGGCGGTTACACTTCGCGCGCCCCCGCCCACCTTCGACCGAAGGCCCCACGCCGCCATGCCGCCGACAGCCAGCCCCATCATGAGTCCGACCAGGAGCTGCCCCATGTTTGGCGTCACGCGCGCGTGCTGCCGGGGAGGTCGGACATCGCCAACCAAACGAAAAACAGCGAATGGTATCATGTGTATATACGTGGTTGTCGATACAATCAATTCGGTGTTATGGATTGTTGAGAACAAATACAAAAATTACGCAAGCGCGTTTTCTTCCTAACGAGAGAGAGGGGGGGGGAGGGGGTCTCGCAGGAACGTGCCGACAACTAACGGGAGTCGCGAAAATGAAAGCTGAGCGAAATTCCCAATCATCTAGTGCTGCTGTACGCCGGAGAACAAGAAAGCAACACAACAAAATAGAAGGAGTACAACGCACGAAACGGTTTCCAACAAAAATATGACACGGTTAAGTTGTTTTTGTGTCTTGCGTGCGTGTCTTTCGTCATTTTATAAACTCATCTCATAAAATAAATTAAAAAAAATGCGAAAAGGCACTCTGCCGTAGATCGTGAGGGCACACACAAGCCCGACACGCTCCTGGCATGGGCACAAGGACTCACTCCGACGCAGCAACCCTCCAAGCAACAACCAAACGTGGATTGAAACCTACTTTCATGTGCGCACTTCTGCAAGGCAAGGCACCTCTTTGCATGCACCGGAAAACCCAAAGCCAACGCTGAAAGAGCACCTCTACACGGTACGCCCTTAACGCACCGCCCTCTCGAGCACCTGCTACAAAATGCACTTTGCACACCACCGGGGGGACGACAGACAGCATAAATTCTACTTCTACCCACCACGCGTCTCTCTCTGCGTTCGAATCAACCGCTACCTCACTCTCACCATAACCACGTCGTCATCCCCCCCTTGCGCTGCCTCCGCCTGTAGGACGACGGCATCCTTTGCCCACGAATCGGAAACGTACTCGACAAGCTTTTCCCAGTGATGCCGGCCAAGGAAAAACGGAGGGCAAACAACCAGAGACGACGACGACGTGAATCAGCGGCTCCAGCAAGGGGGGCAACGGTTGGCACAGTGCAAACGAAACGTCGGCACTTACAAATTACGGGGTGGGGGGCTGGAGACATGCGTACATGTCAGGCGGCCCACAAAAGCGCATGCGTGAGTCGGGCGGGCCGCAAAAGAGCAGGCTAGGCAGGGCTGTGCTGCCTCAATAACCACTTTTTCTCAGCACACAAAAAAGGGGCGCCACTCGCGCGATACTCTCGCCAACGCATGGGTATGCAGCCAATCATCAATTTGTTTGCGCCCTGTTGCTAACAATACGTAAATTATCGATTGTATTCATATCAAGACCGGTACCTCCGGGGGGGTGATGCACTCAGCGTCCACGGAGCGAATGGCGAGCGCGCGCAGCTTGGACAGGGGGCACAGCAGTTCCTCCCCCTGGCTGCACCCGGGGATGGTGATCGCCACGCGGCCGGGAGGGTTGGACGGGCTCAAGTCGGTCAACTCGCGGATCTGCCACACGCCAAAAGATTGCCGAGACAAAGAGAAAGAGAGAGAGCGAGAGGAGAGAAAGAGGAGAGATACACAGATAGAGAGAGACAGAGAGACAGACACACACAGATAGAGACAGACAGACAGACAGGGGTGGGAGAGGGACAGCAAGATAAACAAAACGACGTCAGACAACAAAATAACGCCGAAAGGGAGGGACGTCGAAAAAGACACAACACAACCTCCCCCCCACAGCGACCACGGTGGTGCTTCGGCTGCGCTCTCCGTCCCATTCAACAAATCACTGAGGACACTGGCGAGACTCTTCGCCGAACCGCCTTGTTCCCGCTACCACATCGGCGAGTCTCTCTTCCTCCCCCTGAACACCGAAGCCCACCAGCTTTCTCCCATCTCTCGACGAACGCAAAGAAAGAGAGCAGTCGGCGGAGGCCAGCACTTTGCGGCGCCGACAGGCTTCTGCCACACTCAGCAGAGAGGCGCCTAACTTCCTAGTTGCCACAAAACCACACCCACACCCACGCCAGCGGTGGTGGTGGTGGTGGTGGTGGTGGTCTAGCCCGACATCGAATGGCTGTGCCCCCCCCCCCCCCCCGTTCCCGGTTCCCAGGAAGAGTGTTCTAGTTCTATTACTACTACTTGCAAGGAGGAGAGGCGGTGCCTTGCCTGGCTGGGAGTGGCGATGTCGAAGAACGCCGCCACGTTAAGCTCGCCGTCCACCATGTACGCCTCGAATACCAGCTCGCCCCCGGGAGGGGTGTGGTTCGGCTGCCAGCCCTTGCTTACCTGTACCAGCAGCGGCAGCAGCAGCAGCAGCAGCAGCAGCAGCAAGAATGAGAGTGAGCCATCCAAGAGCACGGCAGGACTGTATGGTATGGTATGGTGTGGTATGGAACGGTACGAGAAAAAAGGCGGTTTACTATTCAGCGGCGAAACACTGGCTAGGTAGGGACAGGGAAAACAAACCAAAACGGTAGCGTACCACGCACGAAGGCAACTAGGTCATATTGGCGCTGCCCGTTCTTTTTATTTCTTTGTCGACGCAACGCTTCGGGACCGAGCCTGACGAACCGTGAGGGTCTTTTTTTCGGAACCTTGGTGCACAAACACAGGTCGGGCTGGCTGCACAATCACAAATCAACAGGGTTGGGGGAGAACGGCCAAGATTGACCGCTCTCGTCAGCATTTTGAACGTCGCTTGGGTCCCCATTGGCTCAAGTCTCATTTTTTTAGAGCGGTGATGGCAAAAACAACAACAACAGCCGCAGCTAACAACAGCTAAAGAGTCAGAGGAAAACCGGATGCGCGCAGAGCATCATCAGTATCGTCACTCACCCACTTGAGGTCCAGCAGCTCCGCCAGGTAGAGGAGGTTAGTGTCGTGGGCCGCGTAGTACACCAGCTTCACCTGTGGACGACAGACAAGGGATACAGGCGACAAACAAAAGAGTGGAGGCACCAGTTGGGTTCGGCCTTGCGGAGATAGATGCGAAGGACAGCCGAGAAAAGGTGCAACGGTGAAACCGCGCTAGAAAGAAAGGCACGATAAGCGAGGTACGGTGCACCCAAAAATGAGAGTCACTGCCGAAAGTGAGACGAGTGCGCATGCCCTGAAAAAACCAAAAGCTGGAGCAAAGAACGCACGGCTCGAAGCACAACCGGTCAAATACCAAAGGCGGACACGTCGGTGTCTTCGGACACCGGTTACAGAGTCACACCGCAGGGTAACCCGCGGCCGCGAATCTCTCTCCTCGCTTCCGCCGTACCCACCCGCGAGCATCAAGACAAGCCCGTCACTGCAGTAACGCAACAACAGAGGACACCCCAAAAAAACACAGAAAAAAAGCCTTTAAGAGAAGTCAGCCAAGCACGGCTTTCGATCGGATGAACCACGAGTCGACGGGAGGGGGGGGTGAGGACAGGGGATGACACCGACTCCGGCAGGGTGTATACACGAGCCGCCGATCAACCTCGGTACGTACAAGCCGCTGGCTCTCTGCCCGGAACGGAAAAGCGTGCCACTTGATTCTCTCGTCGCAAACGAAACGCGGCTCTCACGTCGGGGGTGTGGGCCACAGCGTCGAGGTTTTCTCCTGTCTCCATCTGGTCCAGGGCGGCCACGACGTGCATCAGGAGGGCGCTGCCGAACGGTCTGTGAAGGATGTGGCCGGTGCGCGTACCACATGGGTGCGTGTCGCAGGTGGAGAGAGATGGAGACGCGGGGTATGCGGCAAGAAGAAAAAAAAAACGAAAACGGGTAGACAATGATCACGCACGTGGCTTTACAGGTTACAACGAATCAAGGGCGCAGGCAGTGTCTCCGGTACGAGAAATACGGACGCGATCTATTTGCGCTGCTCTGGCTACGGGAACGGGTCCCCAAAGGCGGGGAGGTACGTGCGGCATGTGCACCTTTTCTCGTCCAATCGAGAAGGCCCTACGAACCAGCATAAACACGGCAGACGCGTGCGAAACCGTCGCTCCGCGGCATCCAACGCCGCAACCTCTTACCAAAGCCTACAAGACTCGAGGCCGCGGCGGCAACAATGGTGCTCGTAAAATTACCTCGCCGCCAGCAGATCGAACTCGAAGTGTCGGTACTCCGTCACGAAGGCGGCCAGGTCCATCACGTCCTCCTCGCTGGTACCACCCGGACAAGAAAAACGTACGGCAAAACAAACGAGCACCGGCAAAGCAGTGAGTGGTCAAGAAAAAAACATGGGCACAGGAGAAGGGCCGAGCGGTCACGATAAAAGCATGGAGCACCGGAGAAGCATGGAGCGGTCGAGATACAAAACGAGCACTGGTGAAGCATGGAACCGTCAAGATAAAACTTGAGAAGGGCGGAGCGGTGGGGGAGGGAGGGTCGGGAGAGTCCGTGGAAAACGATGCCATTCAGCAAGACAAGTCGTCTCGCTTCCAACAACAAAGATGAGTGGACAGACAAGCCAGCCCATGCAAAAGCGTCGAAAGCTTGGCATCCTACATACTCGAGGTGTAAACGTTAGCTACCCTACCCGCTAGCGAGGTGTATAGGCAAACCAAGCCACCCATCCCCGGGCAAAAAAAACGCTTCCTGTGTTGCTGGGGAGAGACCCTTCGCCCCCCCCCCCCCCCCCCCGAGGACTCGTGGTCAATGGTCTACCAACTGAGGCATGCAAAACATGAGCCTCCCCCCCCCGCGGTCGGGCCACTCCTGCCTCATCCCACCCCCACCTGAGTTCACCCCAGGCGACATCCATGCCGTTGAGGTAGTTGAGGAGGAACCACTCCGAGAAGTACTTGCCGGCGTAGACGGGTCCCGTGAAAGTAACGTACCAGTGCTCCTCGTCCCACACGTGAGGCATGTCCATCAGTGTGCACGGCTGATACAAGGACGGCGACGGCGACGGCGACCGCGGCGACACGTCGGTACATTTACCGTTGGTTGGTGGTCGAAAACGAGTTTTTGCTTCGGAGCGCATCGGCCGACGAGCTACATCACAGGGCGGAGGACAACACCGCTGTTAAGACGACGTCAGCGTCTCTCTTATCCGGGCAACATCTCTCTCATCCGGGCAACACGTGTAAACGTTCGTGTGTGCCTCGGGGAATCGGTGCCCGGCATGGCAAGAACACAAGCGGAGGGCGATTTACATAGCGCCGAGGCGTTCCCCACTTCAGACACGAGAGGGAAAAAGTAAGAACAAACGCAAGTAACAACAACTATCATGACGCCACAAGAGGAGCAACGACAGCAGGCACAAAAATCACCTGGTCCTCCGGGTGGTCCGCGGGACACAGCGACCGGTCGCAGCAGCCCAGCACGTCATTCAGCTTCTGCAGCTTGCTCCTCAGCAGCCGCGTCCACTCGTCCACCTTGCCTACGACGCCTTGCACCTCCTGCTCCGAGCCGAGCCGGCACTGGCCAGCGTCGCCGCGAGGCTTGCTCCCCTGAGTTGGATTGTGTCGTTGGTGAACGGACACACGGTAGGCGCGCGCCGGCACGTCATAAACCACAAAACGTTCCGTCGGATCACAAACCACAACCATTTCGTCAGATCACAACGAAATAGTACATTTCGTCAGCAGGAGGCGCTTCTCTGCAGGGAGAGTCGGTGGCGAGCACCCGCGCGGGGTTGTGTGTGGAGGGGGTGGGTACCATACGTGGTAACATCCGCAGGGAGATGGGGAGTCGGTGGAACAAGGTCAGCCTTTCCGAACACCGGTCATAACGAAAAAGGCCACGCGTAACGCAGGCAAGCAACAAGATCCCCCGCCCCCTCCTCCTCACCCGCCCGAAACGCGGTATCGCAATCAAATCTTCAAGCAAAGCTCTATCTACGACGGCAGACAAGCAGGACCACAGCAGCAACACTTGAGCAATCGCACAAACCTGGTCGATGAGGTACTCGACCTCTTCGAAGTGCGGCTCGGGAACGGGACAGCTCCCCACCGCCGCGTCACCGCCCGCGGCCGTCCACCCCTCCGTGAAACCCTTGAAGAACGCCTCCGCCGTGAACTCGTCGCGAGGCATGTCCTGAAGATGACACGAGATAGACGGACAGACAGGCAGGCAAGGGTGTTGGTTCGACGAACAAATTGGCCGCAAGGGACACCAACCACCCCGGTACGGCCGTGGTGGGGCCGTGGTTCTCGCAACCATAGCGATCACGCCATCAGCGGGGGTTGTCTGTCACTTGATCCCTCTTCGCGGATGGTATGCTTGTCTCGGAGATTCTGAGGAGATTTGACCTACAACAACCAGCTTGATCTTCGACATTTTCCCTAAGTCTCTTCTCCCCCCTCCCGCCCGCTCCTACCAACTCTGCCAGCAGCGACGACTCGCCTCTTCGCAGTAGACGAACATGTCCGAGCAAGAGTCGAGGGGAAGCCCATCGCCGGCGTACTTCTGCCCCTGAAACTTTCCCATCAGGTGCGCGGCGTCGTAGCCGTGCTGCGTCAGGACGCCCATGGACCCGTCCACACCCCAGTCCTGTTCACACACGCACACGCCAGGAGGGAAAAATAAAAAAAAGACAGGAGAAGGCATCAGACAAACGCCGGGATTCGAACCCACGAATTGGATCATGTGACGGTTTCGAGGACAACTGTTGCTGCTGCCGTGTTTCAAGCATCGGTGATTGGAGGGAGTGGTTAGAAGTGTAGATTAGGATCACGTTTTCTACCACACACGGACAATACCGAAAACTACGGAGTTTCCCCCCCCTAGTACAGATCCCCCCCCCCCCCCCATTACCTTTCCGGCCTGGAAGCATGGTTTCGTTGATTTAGCCCCGGGGTAGATCGTTTTCGACAAAAAAAAAAAGATCCCCCGGGTATCTCAATTTCCCCCCGGGGTACCAGTTCCCACGAGTTCCCCCCGGGGGGGATGTATTCCCCTTATTTTCTGAGTCGATTTTGTTGCATATGTAGCGGAGCAGTGTGAACGGAGCTGGCGGGTACTCTCTGGAAGGCGGGCCCTTCCTCTTGTTGGAATTACTCGCGGGACGAGACAAACACCCCCAGCTGCTGTCCTCCTTGCTGTCTTTTTTCTCTTCGCCTTCGTTGCTCTTACGTTCCTCCTTAGTCTGCTTGTTGAACTGAGCGCCTTATCCATCTCAGTTTCGCCACTCTCTCTGTGTGTGGTGTGTGGACCATCATCATGTTGCACAACCCCCCCCCGGGGGGGTAGCGTTGCAAAAAAAATAAACTACTCCCCCGCGGTACGTCAATTTCCCCCGGGGGGTTTGGTTTCAGAAAAAAAAACGATCCCCTCCCCGGGGGGAAAACTCCGTAGTTTACGGTATTTAGGTAAGTGGGTACTTTCTACCGGACATGGCGTACAGCAGTGTACCTGTCAGAATATCATTAGACTAAGTGAAGACCAGTGGTGCGCATGGCAGTATTGCGAGTAACGCCGCCGAACCTGCAGCGAACCTGCAGCAAATATAGCACATTTGCACTTTTATTTTGCATCGGTGGTGTAGACACGGCTATGTTTGTACTGGCTATCGATTATCACATGGTGCGGAGAAATTGCGTCGAAGATATGCGTACTCAAATGTACAATGTTACAGTACCACGTAAGTAGGGTTGTTCGCGTTGCTGAAACTTCCCGGCTACCCGCTACACCCCCCCCCTACCGCCAGCGGAGGAATGAGTGCTTTCAGTCGACATGATAAAACGACTCAACCTTGGTTAGACTGGTGTCTTGTCTGGCACCTGAAAGTTGCGGAATCGCCAAATCGTCGCACAACGGTCACGTAAAAACGGCGCGCATGTTTTTTTTGTGAGTTTCGTTTCGGACAAGAAGAAATCGATCAAACTTTTGGCAGGCAAGAGGCGGTGCTTGGGTCTGAGCAGGGGTTGCAGGACGTGTGTGCCTATGTGTCGACAAGTTTATGGCTCTGTGTGTGGACACATGACAAAGCGGTGGAGGTGTGTGTGTGTCTGTACAGTACGTGTGGCCGGTCCTATTTCATCTCGAATTTGGCGCGCCTCGTTCGTGTACAAGTGGTGTCCAGCAGTGGACACGGCGGAACAAATGCACAGCAGGATCTTTGGTTGGCTCTCGCACTGATGAACCGGACAGGAGCCAAGGCGGGCCACCTTCAGCGCGAGAGCTCTCGTAGGACAGCGGCTTGCTTCGTGGTCAGCTAAAAACTAAGACCAGAAAGCCGTGACCCCGCTGCTGTTCGTCTGGATCGTCTTCCATAGCATGTACCGAGTGTGGTGGGTACGGTCTGTCCGCACGTTGTTCTTGTTTCCTTCTCTCGGAATCAACGTTTTGTTCCTAGAAGCAACCCTGCCTGCGCTTGCCATGGTCAAGCAAACCAGCAACCCCCCCCTTACAAAGCACACCTTGTCTTCCGTCTCGAAGGTCTTCCCAGGGGCGTACTTGCTGAAGTCGTGCGTTGAGCTCGGAAACTGTCTCCTGACGCCGTGTCTGGACACGACTATCAAGCCATCGGGTGTCCTCGAAGAACACGACGTGACCATCATCACCGTAGCCAGCACAAGGGGCTTCAAGCAAGGCTTGAGCGCATGGCTGTACGAAGCATGCTTGTTCGACGGCATGGCTGCGCAGCAGGCACGGGAGTCTATGACAGAGAGAGAGAGAGCTAGAAGTTCGTGTAGTGGCCGGGGCAGGAACAAGGAGCACACAGCGGAGCAGTCACCACAGACCACAGCAAGAGAGGGGGCTCCGCCATCGAACAGGCATACCCCCGCACATTGGCATTGGATTGCAGAACAGAGACAATGCCACATCGAAGCACAGGTCTGAGGTACAGCTCGGAATCTTGCTGCTGTGTGACTGTATTGGCGAATGCACATGCATATGTATGTGCATAATACGTGTGCATGATGGACGTGAAAGGTGTCGAGACAGAGGTGGGTTGGGGTCGTTATGGGGATAACTATACTCGTGGTTCTACACTGCTGCAGCAGCAGCAATCCACATTTATTTGAAATTTTCGTTGATCATCACATTGACCTATCCCCGATGAGCAGATATCTACACAGCCGTATAGACTCTGTAGGCTAGTCTATACCTTCGCAGGCCGCCCCATACATAAATATAGGTACAACATGTGCATAATGTGTACGGATGCAAGGAGGCACATGAGTAATTTTCGAGAGGAGCTTTATTTGCTCACGAAGTAAAATATGTACGGACACTGACTGACTGGTGGATGACAGCACGCCCCCCCCCCACTCGCTGTACCGCACACGGTCACCGGCACGAAGACGCTTGAAGTCAAGCAATCCTCGATCCCAAGCGCAGGGCAAGGCCTCTTCGCCCGGGAGCATTTCACCGCTGGTGCCGTGGTCTGCGAGTATACCGGGCGCCAACTGCGCACAGTCGAGGCTCTCAGGTACAAGTCTATATTGTAAGATAAACTCCCGACGCGCCAACTGCGCACGGTCGAGGCTCTCAGGTACAAGTCTATTGTAAGATAAACTCCCGACGTGCGGTCTACAGTATGTAGCAGCAGTCAATTATAGTTGCGGCTCGCGAACAAGGAACGTCAACTTGGGGTCAAGGCTCAATTTCTTATTCGTCACAAACCGTGGACCATGCATAGGTCATTATATCGAGTTTAGTGTAGGATCCACGGCTGAAGTAGTGTGTTTCGGGGTCGACTTTTCTTACTTTCGCAAGAAGGCCCAGCCTCATTTTCTCGTACGCTTTTCTTCCTTGCGGGCCGCAACTGTAAAAGACAAATAAATCATCACGTACGTGAGCCGCCACCGTCCGCCTCCGGCATGAGGGTTTCTTGTGTCGCCTTTTATCCAAACCAACCACCATGGGGCATCATACTTGTTGTCTGTTCCGCTGCGCGACTTGCAGGTCACCGAACAAGAGCTATCTGATGAGGTTGGGTCCTCAGGTGAGGAGTTAAATGGGATAAGATGCGTGTGTTTTGAATTTCTGCTGTAGCATCGACCGCACCGCGGTAACCGGATGACCAATGAATGATGGATGTGTGAGTGTAACTGCTGCGAAGCCCCACCCCCAGTATTTCACGAGATACGCGAAAACTTGGCGTCATAGGCGGAAGTAAGTGTCGCGTGCTCTTCGTGGCGAGAAGAGAGGGGGGTGGGGAACATAACCTCGTACTCTACCCAGACAAATTCTTTGCAGAGTCAACGCTCATCAAGCTACGTGAAGTTCTGCGAGTTTCCACCTTCGCAAGCATGACAAGCATGACACAAGAGACCCACGAATGAAAACGATGATGTTTTTTCCCGTTCAACCCGGGTATTGAAGACATTTTGTCATGATCGTTGTGCGGAGGCATCCATGGCGAACTCTCGGCCTCACGCTCCCGACAACGCCTGTTGCTTCCTTCATGGCAGGCCTTGAGTTAAAGAGGAACCCTCACCAAACCTCACTAAACCTCACGATCGATACGTTTATCCCTCGTTGCGTGGGGTCATTGGACGGGGAGCAGGTGTACGTGGATGCCCTCGACCACCCGGAGGTCATGGCGAGGTGCGCACTACTTTTACATCGAGGATAGACCTTCAAAAAAGGGAGACCCCGACGAAAACGGGACGCCTCCGGACGCACGGCGATGCTTGTGAAGAACTGGTGGACCTTGAGGTCTTGCGCAGATTGATGTTCGCTCGCTTTTTTTTGCCTGTCACCAGCAACTACCTTCAGATATATCGTACCTTTAACCCATTCCACAACTAACTATGACGACGTACAGTAGTAGTTCGACGGGCTTACACAACAACAGCTGGGACAAAGTAGTTTTTTTTTTTCAAGCTTTACCTCATTATGTGGTCCCCGTGCCTCTCGGACTCGCCGCAATGTATCATTTTCAGACAAGCCGTGCTCGTTTTCGGCGTTTTACCCACCACTTGAGAGGAACTCCCTTTGAAAACGCAAACTCATGCACTGCTTTCCCTCTTGTCGGGGCCCAAGTTCTACAGTGGATTCGTAGTGTCCTGTCTCTCGCGGTTACATTTGTCCGTCCATCGTCGTCCTCCAGATACATCAACGACTGCCGAAACTCTTGGCTGTACAACGTGGCCTTCCGAAAGCTCCCGCAAGAAAGCAAGGCGCTCGTGGTCGCGCTGAAGGACATACAGCCCGGCCAAGAGATATTCGTAGACTACGGCAGGTGGGATCTTGGTACAACGCTTTTCCAGTGCGCCAATCGGAAGCGTACCAATCGATTGACTGATAGGCTTCCGATTGGCGCACTAGTCTGGGTCTGGGTCGTACGCACCGGCCACACTTTGGACGCGGGTTCAATTTTTCACATGGCTTTGATGCCCCGTCTTGAATCGCCCCGGAGACTGCTGTAGTGTTCAAGAATATTCCAATAAGTGGCTCACCCACAGTTACTTCGGACCTGTTGGAGAGTTTGTTTGGAGGTGTTCCTACGTTGTTTATCGTGCGCACGTAGCTGCTTTCACAGCGTATCATAGGACGGCCATCCTTTTCATGTTTTTCTCGGCGTTCTCTTTCGTCATGTTAGCGGTGGCATCTGCCGATGGGCAGCCCAAGAGCTTTTTATGAGCTCCTGGTACACCGTGTGGTGCGTCCAGTCGATGCAAGTCCGTTGTTGGTGGTGGTGAACGTCCGTTCCTCATTTTGGTGACGGGCTCCTTCCTTGTTTCGGCAGGTGGTACTGGCTATCGCTCAAGCCTACAAAGCTTGGCGACGACGGCAGCGCCACTGCCAGACTGGAGCCGAGGCCACCGGACGTCTCAAGAGAGCATTAAACTATTGGACCGGTTGTTATGGTGTTAACGCCGAGGGCAAACGGCAAAGGCCTACTGCTCACTGCTGTCGCTCGGCTCTATGCACATGAGTTTAGTCTTGCCATACTCGAGGGAGGAGTATTGGCGAGAGGTTACTGTAGGTTTTCCCGGCGAAAGGGTTCGTCAGGAAAGGCCACTGCTTCCATTGTTTCTTGGATTCGGAAGTCTCAGGACCGGTTTCTTTGGTCGTTGCCTCCAACCGGATGGATGCCCTACGTTCGTGGTTGGGGTGCTTGAGTTGAATTGCCGCGGATGGATGCCGCTCAATGTCGATAATGTTGCAGTTTGAACATTTTTTGGCAGCGAGGTTTTAACGAAGACGTCGTCATATTCGTACACCTTTCCCGTCTATGCTGGACGCCAGCTTTGTCAACCCTTCTTTTGGATGCACCATCACCCGCCTACAGTAGTATATAGTCACGTACCGTATGAAAGGACACACACATGAGACATGTTTCTGCTGTAGATCAGGAAGACTTACAATATGTGATTGATTATTTCTTATTTATTCGAAGCCTGGCTATATTCTTTGTCAGGGTAGGCTACGGGTCGCTTTTGTGCTCTTGCGTGATCGTGTAGATTTCAGTATCAGGTGTAGATGCGTACATAGGTTTGACACACGCAGACACAGATTTGACACACGCAGAGCAGCAATCAATCGTTCATTCTCGAGAAACGAAAACAGGACTAAAAATAGTCCTGACTCATGATCCGAGCTGCTGTGACAACATCTCTTCGAAATTGAATAACATTTCCCCCATGTCAACCCTTGCCATTCTCACACAATAGGAGTGTGCATGCTCCATCTAGGTTAGCGGCTCATGGTACCGCGGAGCGCCGAGCGCGGCAAGAAATGTATGCTTTCCGCGCTATAATAATACGAGGAGGCGTTATCACCGCACTAAAAAGGGGGGGGTCCGGTTTTCCTGTTGCTTTCCGCGACGTCCCTCCTCCGCGCACGTCCTGCCTGTGGTTGCTTGCTGCTTGCACGACACCCTGCACTACTCTGTGCTGTGCTACGAGGCAACGCGAGATCTTCTCTGGAGCAGAAGCTACGTGCTCACCGCTGCTGTTTCTTCCTTCGCATTCATTTACGAGAGTCGATTTCGGCGGTCCATCAGAGCAACCCACGCGTTGCTTTTTTTGGAGGTCGGTGTGCTTCAGGCTCACAACTCCTGTGACTGGCATAGCGGCACAGCGGCAGCGTGGCTCGAGAAGAGTTGGCTTGGACAGACACCTCGGTTTGCTGGACTGCTGATAATCTCCAGGTCGTGAAAAACAGTCGTACATCAACTCCTGTGCGGCAGAGCGTTGCAAGGACACAGGACATTGTTTAAATATTAGACTGCTGTCGCCAAGCCTCAGGGGGGGGGGCGACAAACGCGCAACACACCAGGGAGAGGAAGCCAGAGAGCAGGGCACAGCAAGCAGGGTCAACCGCGTGGGCAGGTTAATAACCAATGGCGGATTCTTGGGAAGACGAGGAGTTTGACTTGCCAAGCAGCGTCCCTCCGACGGCCGTACCCGTATCGTGGGAAGATGAGGTGAGGCTCGGCACACGACCGCAGAACTCTTGACCGATTTCTCTACCCAATGGATGGTGGTTCATCTGCTGTGTGTTATTCATACGCATACGCATAGATCATGCATACCCCGACGATAGTATTGCAAGCTACTTCAAGAGGGTACATAGAGTCGCAGGACACCACCATATCACTACACCATCGCCTTCTCGTTGTGCCGGTTTCTCAGAGAGTTATTTGCTGTATACCAGTTGGCAGGAGGATTCGCACGTATGTGCCCATATTTTCATATTTTGGAATCAACGGAGATGCTACCACTGCGCCGTGTCCATCCGCACCGCTCGCCAAGTCGCTGCCTAAATGTACATTGACCCACAACAGTATGATGCTGTGTCGTAGCTGTGCCCTCCCCACTCACCCGGGGAACACTAACCCGTTCGTGAAGAACCAGTGAACTAGTGGTGTTGAAAGCAACGACGTTGAAACGTCATGTCGCAAAGGAGCGCCCCTCGCCTCGGACAATTCGTCGGGTTGCAGCACAGGGCGCGATGATTTTCTCCCGTCGCGGCCACATATGCATACTGGACCGCCTTCGCCGGGAATTAAAGTTCGTGAGGAAATAGAACAGAGAGGGGGTACGCAGACCCTATTCCCTAACCCTAACCCTAACCCTGATCCAACGTCCCCGATTGCATGCTTTATCCAACATGTTTACATAATAATACGAAAAACCCTGCCAAGGCTGTTGTACTGGTTTACTCACTAAAGTACGTGGGTTATAGACGCAACAAGAGACCGGAAGAGAGGGAGGCCGGTAGAACCTTCGAGTTCGGTTACATCTCGACCGGTTATTTGTGGTCGTTCTGTGTTTATATATATTTTCCCTAACAAGACTGTTGTTCTGTGAACTAGGCCGAATGAACACACGTGTTGGGTGGGGTCTTGTCTCTCCTCCTGCGCCTTGTGTACCGTATGGGGGGTTTGGCTATGACAGGAAGAGGACCAGGAAGATGCGGGGGCCGTGGCGCCGGGATTGGCGCCTAAGATGAGCGCGGCGAAGGCGGCCAAGACCGCCGCGGAAAAGGACGCGAGAATCGCGGTAAGCAAAGCCAGGGGACCTTTCATTCCGTGCGGCGGCAGCGGTGGCTGTGTAGCATCGTTGAGCTGCCGAACAGCGATGGACGAGCGTCAGATTCGTCCCGCCCGCGGAGGAGGTGCATGCCGTAGGTGACACAATATACGGTACCCCCTGGACTGATTTTTGAAGCTCGATCACTCAACGACGAAGAGGATGCTTAATTAAACGATTGCGATTCGTTTTCGGAAAGCTCTCGACGAGACGGCTCCCAACGCCGCCGCTTTCGGCGCTGCCACCCTCTCTACTGTGGAAAAACCGAGCTTCGAAAACCGCTTCACGGGGTGTGGTAGGCTATGCCCGGTTCCTTCTCGTGAGCGACTGCTGAGCGAAAGCCACGCAATGGAGGTTTGTAGCTTGTACCACCCTGCCTGAACACGTCGAGTTCGAGCGAGGCGGCTTATGTGTCAAGAAGGAGCTTGCTTGCGGTCGTTGTTTCCCCCCCTGCTGCGCCCCTTGAGTAAATGGTTCGACCATTCGCTGTCACAACCTTTGCGGACAGACTCCCCGTCGCACCAGCCACCATTCTCATTACCCCTTCTTGCTCCTTTCTCGCGATTGAATTTGCTCTTGTCGTTGTCGTTGTCGTCGTTGTCGTTGTCGTTGCGTGTCCATGCAAACATTTCAGGCGGAATTGGAGACACGATTGCAGCTGGGCGAGACGGCTGAACAACGACGCCTGCGCGAACGGAACCGTGTGGAGGAGGCCGACAACGACCTGACGGAGGACTTGTTCGGCGGAGGAGGCGCGCGGGGGCAGGGAGCGGGGGGCGGGTTGTCTGGCCTCGCGCTAAAGAATATGCAGGTGCGGGGGCGGCCTGCCATGTGTATTGTCCTGCCAACACCCGTGTGGCGCGATGGGTGTACCTCTCGATAGTTTGCATGTGTGGTGTACCACCGTTTTTTGTTATCTGTACACTTTCAGAATTCACAGATTACCTCTATAGCGCGGGCTTGTCTTGTTTATTCGTTTGCAGCCTTTGTGTTTTGGCGTGGGGCTGGGTGAGGGACCTGTGGCTGCTGCCGAAGGTCGGTGGCCAGGCTTCGCTCTTGTTATTTCGTGGTCTTGTTGCCATCCTATTACCCATAAAGTTTATTGCCGATGGGGTGAGTTGCGGCGTCGATTGTCGTCAGGCTTGTTCGAATCGTGTATTGTAGCAACAGAGGCAATAGAGAACGACGGTTTCGCCGTGGTGGACATGCCTTTGCCCATGCCCCTTCCCGCCGCCAAATCGCTTCGACCGCCTCGAGGTATACTTGTGTTGTAAGAACCCGCAAATCGTTTGTGTACCCCCCGACTTGTTGCCTTCTGCTTGGGCTCCGCGGAATGCCTAGTATCAGTTGGCTTTTCTCGTTGTTTTCGTCCCATCCATATAATCTGGGCACTATGCTTTGTTGGAGGATGTCGGACGTACCAGGTGGTCCAGACGTGTGATGCTCTTTAGTCGGCGCCGAGATTTCGGTGCGGTGGATAGGCGCCGCATTTTATGTTCCCCAAATCCTGCTCCCCGAAGCGGGCGACGGGCTCTCCGTGTAGCGGCAGCGACAGCGCACTGCCAATGTGCCCGGTTGTGACGGCGTACTCGCCCCGGCGGCCTGCCTCACGAACCGCAGCATCGGCCGGCGCCTGCCTAATAGTCAAGCAGGCGTTGCACGTACATGTGTGTGTGTTTTTTTTTTTTTTTTTGTGGTTGTGGTTTTTCATTCTTTCTCATGGTACCTGTTTTGTCACCTGCGACGTGCCACATGCCGTCCCCGGTCGCTGCTGCTGCTGCTGCCTACCGTTTTTCTTGCCTGCGGTCATCAACCCTGTGCCACCCAGGACCACGTGAAGCTGGCGATTGAGCTCGCCGAGAGGATGGACTCCAGCAAACCCGCACACATGACGGCTTTCCTGAAGGTCGGTCGGCGTCCCATGTACGCTTACGACTCTTTTTTTGCAAGCACTTTCGCCGCCTCGCCTCATTGTGCCCCTTCTTCTCCTCTGATCGCTCGGTATCTCTCCGATTATTGATTTCAATTTCCCCCACTTTCGCTCTGTTGCTCTCTCCCTTTTATGGAGCGGGAGCTCGTCACGAAACTCTCTACCAGTACCTTTCATTTAATTTGTTTTCATTTGTTTTTGTTTCGTTGGGGCAGGAGCTCGTTACGAAACTTTCGCCCAAGATGACGGCGGACGGGCTCACCGACCTGGTGAACCACACCACCATGTTCCGCGATGAGAAGCGCCAGGCGGAAGAGAGAATCGCGAGCGCGAAGGCGAACAAGACGAACGTCATCGCGAACCAACGCGCCAACAAGAAGAAATCCATCAAGAAGAAGAAGGCGAGAGAGAGAGGGAGACAGGCAGACAGGCAGACAGACAAAACAGACATTCAGACAGATAGATGCAGATGCAGACAGAGAGAGACGCAGTGTTTTTTGTTGTCTTGCTGATTCTCGCTTGACGCTCGTCCTGATGCATTTTTTGCTGGCTTCTGTGTCCTCACGTGGTAAATGTATTGTTGCCTGTTGCCGCCGTCGTCTTGTTGGCTTCCCTTCGTTCTTGAATCAGCTCCCGCCGCGGGGTTTGATTTTGCGTGCGTACTCGGTTTTTGATTGGGGTGCGATCCCTTCAGCCACACAAGAGATCTGTCGTGCATCTTTCTCGCAGCGTGGTTATTTGGCGAGCCATGCTTAGGCTGAAAGGCATGGGTGCTTGCTCGATTCCCACGAAGGGGATAGTCGACAGGCTTCTTCCCTGAACACGAGTGGTAAACGCTTACGAGGGTTTTCCATGTCTTGCGGTGCCGTTTCGTTTTGTCTGACTACATGTCCGGTTTCGCCGCCGCCCCCGCGCGCTGCCCTGGTGCTTTCTGCTTGTCCTTTCTCCCGTCGCCCTCTGGCGCCCCCCGCTCATTTTTCCACAGGCACACTCGGATGTGTTTGGCGGTGACTTTGACGGCGACGGTATCGACACCGTCGGGATGGATTACGAGAGCAAGTACGACGACTTCATGTAGAGTAATGGCACATTTTTTTTTGCGCTCTTATGGCCATATTTGGTGTCTCGTGGGGGAGTTTTCCTCCGTTCAGGAGGAGGCTGGGATTACGGTTGTCCGGGCGGATGCATGCCCCCCCCCCCCCCCCCCCCGCCCGCCC